GCAAGACTTAGTTCAGCAGTGGTCTGGTACCCCCTGAGTCTATTCCTTATGTGTCACTTGTGGAGGTGGTTGGGTAGTGGCCCTTTGACGTGGTCTGAAGCTGTCCACTGGGTGTGCTGGCTCTGGGGCAAGGTCAGCCACTATCTGTGTTCTACCTGGGGCCACCAGACATAAGCTACAAAGCGATCTGCTGATGGCTGCTGCTTGTGCTGGGCTTAGAGGTGCCCAGGCAAAGCCAAATTGTGAACCAAGGCTGGCTGCTTCTAGTGCTGGGCCTGGGACCACGTAGTGAGAGGTATGGGGCTCTCTGTGGCCAGATGCTGCTTGTGTGAGAGAATTTAGGAAAATCTGAAGCAGGAGCCAAACAAAATCCTGTAGCAAAACCACTGGAAACAGCTTGCATAGGTCTGAAAGTTGGGTGTGGCAGCGTCTCAGGGAATAGCCAGGGTGGGGCAAACGGCATGAGCCAGGTTGCTGGAGTCCCAGGTATGGGGGCTGTCTACCGCCCCAGGGAAGGGCTCACAAAAGGAACAATGGCCTCCACCAGCAAGTCTGTCTATGAGAAAGCTGCCTCTCCAGCCCTTGCCCCAAGGCCAAACAGGTTATTGCTTCCCATATGTCTCTGGTGCCTTTCAAGCTACCTCCCCTCCATGCTGGGGCTCAGAAGGAGTGAGTCCCAGTAAGTCCATGCGTGGGCTTTTTTTCTTTATGCTCACCCGAGGACATTTTTTTGATATTTTGTTCAGATAGAGTGGGAGGGAGGGAGAGAGAGAGAGAAACATTGATGTGAAAGGGACCCATCGAGTGGTTGCCACCCACACGACCCAACCAGGGCTGGAGACAAACTGCAACCGAGGTACGTGTCCTTAGCGGGAACTGAACCCAGGTCTCTCTGGACCACAGGCCAATGCTGTAACCACTGAGCCAAACTGGCCAGGGCCATGTGCAGGCCTTTTAAGAGGAGCTGCCTGGGGCTCCAGCAGCCTCAGCCTCCTTCAGCCTCAGTTCCCACTGCCTTTATAGTCAGAGGTTATGGGGACTTCTCTTCCTGGCACTGGAACCCTGAGCTTGGTGCCTGGTGTGGGATGAGGACCCCTCATTTCTCAGGGAGGACCTTCACAGCTGAGGTGTCCTCCTGATTTTTATCTGTCACATGTGGGTGTGGGACCAGCCCGTTTGTACCTCCTACCCTCCTACCAGCCTGGATGTGGTTGCTCTTTAATTTCGTAGTTGTCGGACTTCCATTCGGCTTGATCTCAGGCAGTTCTGAATGATGGTTGTGCTGTAGTTTATTGTAATTTTGATGTGGTTATGGGAGGAGACAAGTACCATGTTTACCTACACTGCCATTTTGACTGGAAGTCTTTCATGTTGAATTTTCTATACATTACTTGTTTAAAAATATGTTTTTATTGATTTTTTAGAAAGAGAGAGAGAGGAAGGGAGAGACAGAGAAACATTGATGTGAGAGAGAAACATCAATCAGCTAACTCGTGCACGTCCCCCACTGGGGATTGTGCCTGCAACCTAGACATGTGCCCCAACTGGGAATCAAACTAGGGCCTCTCAGTCTGTGGGATGATGCTCAATCCACTGAGCCACACTGGCTGGGTTCTATCCATTACCTTCATTTGTTTTTTATTTATTATCTTCACCCGAGGACTTTTTTTTTTTTTTTTTTTTTTTTTTGCATTTATCTTCAGATAGAGTGGGAGGGAGAGAGGGAGGAAGAGAGAGAGAGAGAAACATCCATGTGATAGAGACACATCAAGTGGTTGCCACCCACATGACCCCAACTGGGGCCGGGGACAAACTGCAACCCAGGTATGTGTCCTTAGTGGGGAACTGAACTCAGAACTCTCTGGTTCATGAGCCGACACTCTAACCGTTGAGACAAACTGGCCAGGACTCTATCCATTACTTTTAATCATAGCAAGGTAGCCCATTATATTTAACCACTTAAATTAATAATTAAAAGGTCTGAGCCAGTGGGAGATCACATCTACAACGCAAGGCCAATGTAGAGCAAAATGGCTTTATTGCATATGCCTGGGTGCAGGCAGGCTGACTTCTTAAAAGAGCCCAACATTGAAATCTCTTTATTCTCTGGTTTTTATAGGCCCAAACTACAGAAATAAACCACAAAAAAACTACATTCAAAAACTCACATTCTCTTTGCACTGCATAATTGGTGTCAGGGCTGATATAAGTGGTCTTAGAGGTAAGGAGTCTGCTCTAGCAGAGGTATGGGCCATCATTAATCTCCTTCTTTTTTATGGTCCCTTCAAGTTTCCCAAGGCCATCATTAACCCCTTATCTTTATGGTTCCCATGTTTTTTAGAAAACTATTCGGGTGTTTATGTGCAGGAATAACTCGTCAGAATGGAATTTAATTTTGTTAAAACATTATGAACCCTTTCAATAATGCTGAGAATATTTGGGGGAGGGGAGCATATTAGTTTGAGTAGGCTAAGTGGCTGAAACAAATAGACCCCAAAATAATCATTCAAACACAGAAATGTCAATTTTTCACAAAACTGTCTGGATTCATAGAGAGCAGGCATACAGTTCTTCTGGGAGTGGAGGGTAGTGAAGGGATTGAGCAAAAAAGGAAAAAAAATAAAAGAAAGAACCCATGGACACAAACAACAGTTTGGTGATTGCAGGGGGGTCAGATGGGGGAGGTCGATGAAGGTATAAGGGGGATAAATGGTGAGAGAAAAAATAAATAAATATAAACTGTCCAGTTTTGTCAATGTTGCCTCTGCCCCCATCAGCCTGTGGATCTGCATTCTTGGTTCTCACCCTTAACATCTGCAGGAAAGGGGACCTTATGTATTGTGGGCCAGGTCTGTTTGCCTCCAGTCAGTTCCCTGTGCCCATAACCACACCAAAGTGGTTTCATAATACAGTTCCCTAGCCTGTTATATTTTCTGTGTGTGTGTGTGTGTGTGTGTGTGTGTGTGTGTGTGTGTGTGTGTTTCTGGGCCTCTCTTAACTCATTAGGGCTGCCTTGAAGCCATTGAATTGATGAGCAGCACCTGAAATCTGATTTTCACATAGGTTTCTTTTAGGTTTACTAGAAAAACCTTGAAATTTAAGGCAGCGGTTTACAAACTCACCAGCTGTTTATGTATGTCTACAAGCTAAGAATGGTTTTCACATTTTTTAGTCATTGAGGGGAAAAGCATTTATGACACAAAATTAAATGAAATTGAAATTTCATAGTCCATGAATAAAGTTTATTTGCATATAGCCACACTCTTTCATTTATGCATCATCTGTGGCTGCTTTTGTGCTACCACAGGAGAGAAAACATAGTGAGAACAGATTGTATAGTTCACATAGCCTAACATATTTCTTATGTGGCCTGTTACAGAAAAGCTTTTCTCACCCATAATTTATTTAGACTGCCATTAGAGGTATTGGCCTTTCCAATCTTATCCTATTTCTGGACTTTGTCTCTTTTCTTTCATAATTGCCTACACACTGGCTAATTCCTTAAGAGTTCTTTTTTTCTTATAAAACCTGGCTGAAAATAACAGCATACAATATCATCTGGTTCTTTCCATAGACCTTATTTTCATAGTTTCTAGCTCTAGTAGGCACATGGGCTTTTCTTTTTCTTTTTCTAAATACAAGCAAGAGTTTATTTAGAAAGCCACAGAGGTAGAACTAAGGGAGCCCTGGAAGAAGTGAGTCAGCTGGGCTACATGGGCTCAAGAAACAAGTTACAGAGGCAAAAGAAGGGCCCTTGGAGCTTAGGAAAAAGAAAGGCAAAGAAAATGTGCTGGGGGAAGGAGTGGCAGAAAGTCTCCAGCCTGCTCCAGAAAGAGGGAGGGTGGGGATGAGAGAGAGAGAGAACTAGTGAGTCCTGGGGAAAGAAGGGGGTGGGAAAAAGCACAGGTGTTCTGAAGAGAGAAAAAGAGTGAGCTTGCATGTGTTTTGCCTTCTGAATTGACACATGTTTGATTTCACTAAATCTTATGTCACAGCAGGACAAGAGCTTCTGGCTTTCCAGCCTGCATTCCATTTCTTCTCCACTTAATTATTAATTCATCATTTTAGTTTGAAAACAACATCTTTAGCCCTGGCCAGTTTGGCTCAGCGGTTAGAGCGTCGGCCTGCAGTCTGGAGAGACCCGGGTTCGGTTTCCGCTAAGGGCACGTACTTCGGTTGCAGTTTGTCCCCGGCCCTGGTTGGTCGTGCGGGTGGCAGCCACTCGATGTGTCCCTTCACATCGATGTTTCTCTCTCTCTCTCCCTTCCTCTCTCTCCCTCCCAATCTATCTGTCCAAAAAATGGAAAAATATCCTCGGGTGAGGATTAAAAAAAATAAAATGAAAACAACATCTTTATTCTAGATGACACTTGGGTTATTTGTAAGGATAGTCTGTACTGCTTTAGCAAGCCATGAATCTAAATTTAATAGAGCTTCACATATCTCAAAAATCACAATCCAGTGTAGCTGTTCTCGGTTTGGCAGTAGTGGGGGTTTGCGTGTTGAGGTTCTTGCTGCCCTTTGTAATTAGTTAGGAACCAAGCTGACAAAAGTTCTGCCTCCTTTGGCTTGTGGCTTCCATTGTCACTCTAGACTTGTCCTTTGCCATTGTAGCACATGAGAATGGGAAAAGGCCTGGAGAAGGATGCAGTCAGATGTATGGACCAAGCCTGGAAGTAGTTTACAGCATGTTTGTTTATATTCCTTTGGAAAGAATAGGTCTTAGGCTACTGTAATTGCAGTACAGGCTGGGAAAATGGTGTAGCTTGAGTATTTGCCACAGGGGAGAGGGAGAAGAGATTTTGATGGATATTGAGCATTCTGCCACCAGGCTTCCAGAGTTGCATACATTTTTGTGTGCCCTAAATAAAGTAGACCAAGTTATGAAAGGTTTACTGTTGGGATAGGCTTATTTATAAGAAAAATACTTATGCAAATGTAGTTTTTTAGATGCAACTCTTTAAACAAGTAGTTTGAATAATACATGTGTGTATTTTTAGGCTATCGCACATTATGAACAATCGGCTGACTATTACAAAGGAGAAGAATCCAATAGGCAAGTATTAGTTTTCTACTGTACTTGTGAGTGTTTTATACCATACCAAATGAAAGTATACTGAGATATCTTTTTATTTCTCTATTAATTTGTTACTTATTCTTCTCTTGTTCTTGATTTCAGTTCAGCTAACAAGTGCCTGCTAAAGGTGGCAGCATATGCTGCCCAGCTTGAGCAATACCAGAAAGCCATCGAGATCTATGAGCAGGTGAGATTCAGTTTCCAGTAAAATTTCCAGTTATCTGTTCGATTTCCAGTAAAATTTACTCTGAATCTTTTTTTTTTTTTTACTTTTAAATTTAATGTCTTTTAGTTGAGATCTAATTCACACATTATATAATTAATCCTTTTTAAAAAGATTTTTTTGTTGATTTTTTAGAGAGAGAGGAAGGGAGAGAGAGATAGAAACATCAGTGTGAGAGAGACATATGGATGGGCTGCCTCCTGCAAGCCCCCTACTGGGGATGGAACCCACAACCTGGGCATATGCCCTGACCACGAATCAAACTGGGACCTCTCAGTCCATGGGGTGACGCTCAACCCACTGAGACTGGGCTGGGCTATAATTAATCCTTTTAAGGATTACCATGTCTGTGGTGTTTAGTATATTCACAAAGGGTGTGTACCTATCACCATAACTTAATTCCAAAACATTTTTATCATCCCCAAAAAAACCCCCATTTTCTCCTCCCAGTCCCTGGAAACCACCATCTATTGTCCATCTAAATGGTTTTGCTGATTCTAGGCCTTTAATATATGTGAAATTTTACAATATATGTGGCCTTTTGTGACTAGCTTGTTTCACTTAATATAAGTTTTTTCAAGGTTCACTTATATTGTACCATATATTGATACTTCATTTTCATAGTTGAATAATATTTCGTAGTTTATTCATTTATCAATTGATGGACATTTGGGTGTCTTTCACTTAGGGGCTGTTATGAATAATGCTGCTATGACGTGTTCAAATTTTTGTTGATGGTATATTTGCAGTTTTCTTGGCTATATACCTAGGATTGGGATTGCTGGAACATGTGACAAGTTCTTTTTTAACTTTCTGAGGAACTGCCAAATTGTTTTCCACAGTTGTTGCACTATTTCACTCTTCTACCAGCAATATACAGGAGTTCCAGTTTTTCCATATCCTCACCAATACTTACTGCTTTCTGTTTATTTGTTTGTTTATTTAATAATCACCCTAATTAGTGAAACAGTCTCTCATTGTGTCTTTGATTTTTCATTTCCCTAATGATTAGTGATGTTGAATATCTTTTCATATGCTTATTGGCTGTTCATATATCTTCCCTGAAGAAATGTCTATTCAGTTCCCTTGCCCATTTTTGAAACCGGTTATTTGTTTTTTTGGTATTGAGTTTTAGAAGTTCTTCACATTAATCCCTTATCAGATAAGTGATTTGCAATATTTTCTCCTGTTCTTTGGGTTGCCCTTATACTCTGTTGTTAGTGTCCTTTGATACTCAAATTTTTAAATTTTTATTGAGTACAATTTTTCTATTTTTTTCTTTTTTTTGGCCTGTGTTTTTCATGTCATATCCAAGAAATTGCCAAACCCAAGGTCATGAACCTTTGCCCCCTATGTTTTGTTCTAAGAGTTTTATAGGTTTAATCTTTGATCCATTTTGAGTAAATGTTGTATATATGATGTTAGTTAAGGATTCAACTGCATTCTTTTTTTTTTTTGGCCTGTAGATTGTTTATTTGTTGAATACACTGTCTTTTTCACCATTGAGTGGTCTTGGTACCTTGTTGAAAATTATTTAACCAGTATGCAAAGGTTTATTTCTGGGCTCTCTGTTGTAATCCATTGATCTATATGTCTGTCTTTAGGCCAGTATCACACTGTTCAACTACTGTAGCTTTGTAGTAAATTTTGAAATTGGGAGGTATGAGTCTTCCAACTTTATTTTTTAAAGATTGCTCTGGCTATTTGGAGTTCCTTGCATTTCCATATGATTTTTAGCATCAGCTTGTCAATCTCTGCAAGAAACTAGCTGGGATTTTGATGGGGATTGCATTGAATCTGTAGATCAATTTGGAAAATATTGTCATCATAACAACATTAAGTCTTACAGTCTGAACACAAGATGCCTTTTCATTTATTTAGATTTTTAATTTTGTTCAATGTTTATAGTTTTCAGATGTGCAAGTCTTGCACTTCTTTAGTTAAGTATACTCCTAAGTATTTTATTTTTTGATACTATTATAAATGGAATTGTTTTTTTAATTTTCTTTTCAGATTTTTGTTTGCTAGTTTTATATACTGCAAACTTGCTGAACTTATTTATTAGCTCTAATGTTTGTTTTGTGAATTTCTTAAGGATTTTTTAATATACAAAATGATGTCATATGCCAATAGTGATAGTTTTACTACTTCTTCAATCTGAATGCCCTTTACTTCATTTTCTTGTCATTTGTCCTGGCTAAAACTTCCAGTACAGTGTTAAATAGAAGCAGCAAGGGCAGACATCCTTGTCTTGTTTCCATCTTAGAAAGAAAGCTTTCAGCCTTTTACCATAAAGTATGAGGTTAGCTGTGGGGTTTTTTTTTGTGTTTTTTTTTTTTAATAGATGTCCTGTATTAGTTTGAGGAAGTTTCATTTTCTTTCTGGCTTAACTGGTTTTATCATCAAAGGATATTAGATTTTGTCAATTGATTTTTCTGCATCTATTGAGAGGATTGCATTGTTTTGTCCTTTAAGTCTATTAGATAGTACATGTCATTGATTTTTATATCTTGAACCAACTTTACATTCCTAGGATAAATTTTTCTTGTTCATTGCAAAGTTTAGAGATCTCCAAGAAAACCTTCAGATTTGAAAATTCTCTGGAGCTCATGGATCTCAATGAAAGCTATTATACACACAGTTATGTTATATTATAAAAAAGATACACATTAAAATCAGCTAAAGTAATTGGTGCCATAGGGCAGGGTCCAGGAGAGTTCCAAGTGTGGAACTTTCTGTGGCTGACCATATTCTCCAGTTCTTCCAGGTCCTCCATAGGTTGAGTCAAACCACATTACCCAAGGACCCCAAATAAACAAAAAACACTCTTATAAGGCTGGACATTCTAAGGGTTTAGAGAATACCTCCCAGGAGTCAGGGGCAAAGGCCAGACCTCACTTTAGACAAAATTAATCCTTAACTGTATAGTCATGTAATCCTTTTTGTAAGTTGCCAGAATTATTTTGCTAATATTTTGTTGAGGATTTTGCATTTATATTCATAAGAGATATTGATCTTTAATTTTGTTTTCTTGTGATGTGTTTGTTTGGTTTTGGTAGCAAGGTAATACTGGCCTTATGGAATGGGTTGGGACGTATTCCCATTTCTTCTGTTTTTTAGAAGAGTTTGTGAAGGATTGGTACTCATTCTTTAAACAACAATTCAATGATTTGCTCTATGGTTTTTCTGTTTTCAAATTCATTGATTTTCATGGTTACCTTTCTTATTTTTAATTCTCCCACTATTTTTGGGTTTACTTTGCTTTTTGTAGTGAGTTCAAGTGGGAATTTAGCTTACTGATTTTCCTCTTTGTGTGCATGCAGCTTTAGTGCTATCAGTTTCCCTCTCAGCACTGCTTTGGCTGTGTCTCAAAATTCTACTATATTGTTTTATTTTTTAAAATTTATTTCATTGGATTTATTGATTATATACTTTTAGGACCACATTGTTCAGTGTCACAATTTTGCTTCAACCATCAAACATAATTTAGAAAAGACAAGAGAAGAAAAGATTATTGTATTCATAACATTTTATTTGCTGTATTCTTTCTTCCTTCCTGATTTTTTGAGATTACATCTTTATTGTTTCCTTTTTGTTTAAAGAATATTCTTTTACCATTCTTTTAGAGTAGGTTATTGGCAATATATTATTTTTGTTTTTCTTCATATGGGAATGTTTTGATTTCCTTTTTATTCTTGAAGCATATTTTTTCTGGGTATGAATTCTAGGTTGATGTTTTGTTGTTTTGTTTAGTATTAGTACTTGAAAAAGTGCCACTTATGGTCTTTCTGATTTCTGATGAGAAGTTGGCTGTCATTCTTGTTGGTTTTCCCTGGTAAACAAGGGGTGATTTTTCTCTGGCTGCTTTCAATTTTTTTCTTTGTCTTTAGTTTTAAGCAGTTAATGTGGCTTAGCATGAATAGTTTTACTTCTATCCTATTTGGGTTTCAATAAACTTCTTGAATCAAATTTGGGAATTTTTTTAGCTATATTTCTTCTAGTACATTTTTAGCTACTCTCTTTTTCTCTTTACCTCAAAGGAATCAAAATGTCCCACTGCAAGACTTCATTTCATTTTTTTTTTTTTCTATCATTGAAAGTATTACAGATGTCCCCCTTTTTTCCCCATTGATCCTCTCCTTCCTTCTCCCATCCCCCCTTGCTGCCTTCCCCAGCCTAGTGTCCAGGTCAGTTGAATTGCATATATACATATAAGTTCTCTGATTTATCTCTTCCCATCCCTCCCATCCCCCATCCCTATGAGCTTTGTCAGTCTGTTCCCTACTTCCATGATTCTGGATCTCTTTTGGTCGACAGCTTATTTTGTTTATTATCTTCCACATATAATTGACATCATATGATACTTGCCTTTCTCTGACTGGCTTATTTCGCTTAGCATAATACTCTCCAGGTCCTTCTATGTCATCTCAAAGGGCAATGGATCTCTGTTTCTTACATATGCATAGTATTCCATTGTGTAAATGTACCGCAGCTTTTTTATCCTCTCCTGTACTGATGAGCACTTGGGCTGTTTCCAGATCTTAGTTATTATAAATAGTCCTACTATGAACATAGGGGTGCATATATTCTTTCCGATTGGTGTATCAGCCTTCTTAGAGTATATTCCAAGAAGTGAGATCATTAGGTCAAATGACAGTTCAAATTTTAATTTTTTGAGGTAACATCATACTGTTTTCCATAGTGGATGCACCAGTCTTCATTCCCACCAGCAGTGTACTAGAGTCCCCTTTTCTCCACACCCTTGCCAACACTTGTTGTTTGATGATTTGTTGATGGCAGCCATTCTGATAGGTGTGAGGTGATACCTCATTGTTGTTTTAATTTGCATCTCTCTGATGATTAGTGACAATGAGCACTTCTTCATATGTCTGTTGGCCATTTCTATGTCCCTTTTGAAGAAGTGTCTATTTAGGTCCTCTGCCCATTTGTTAATTGGGTTCTTT